CAGAAGGACAGTTAAAAAGCTATGGTAGTAAGAAAGGTTAGAGGTGGTGGTGGCTTAGACAAGAATGGGAGCAGTGGAGGTGGTTTAAAAAAAAAAAGTGATTGGATTCTAGATATATATTTGAAGGTGCAGCCAGTAGGACTTCTTTATAAGTCTTAGTGCCTGACCATTTAAAAATCGTGATGTTTGTGGCCCTTTTTCTTAATACATAATTAAGGTGACAGTAGGTCATCATGCTTATCACGTCTTTTCCATTCTCATGATTCTGTATACAAGGAGCTGGCGTCTTCTGAAGAATCTTATCTATACTTTTTGAGGTTTTTTTTTAGAGAAAATCATTAGTCCCATTCTTCTTTTGAATGCTACTTTTCCTTCTCTAAAAACTGACCATGAACTATATTCTCGTTCATCAATTTCTTATTTCTTTGTCAGAAAAGCAGTTTGCATTTTTTATTATTATACAAGTATTCAACATTCATTGTAAAACAAACAAACAAACAGGCAGAACTAAAAAAAAAAGTATACAGTCTTTTTCATCTATACCAGGATTGTGTCTTGCTTTTATTTTTTCTTTGGTAACAGATGAGGCAACAGAACATGCTAAGAGCTTGGACTGAAATTGACAAGTTTTTGAACCTCTCTAAATCTCAGTTTTCTCCCTTGAAAATGGGCATATTTAATAGAACCTACTTCATAGGTTTAGTATGAAGATTTAATGAGATCATGCAGAGAAAGTACATAGCACTTACTAGCACCTTGATTGGCAGCTGAGAAGGCCGTCAGTGACTGTTAGCTACAGTTCTCATCTTTTGTAAATTGTCTTTCAGATACTTTGCCCAGTTTTCTACTATGGTGTTTATCTTTTTCTTATTGCATTATTAGAGCTATTTATTTATTATAGAATTACATGAGGGTTATACCATTTGTCTTTCATTTGTTGCAAATATTTTTCCCAATTTGGTGTTTGTTTTTCAGTTTACTTACAGTGGTTTTGCCTTATGGTTTCTGCCTGTGATAGCATGCATGGGAAAGCCTTGTTAATCCTAGAATTAAAGGAAAAGGTTCTTCTTATATTCCTCTCATATTTTCTATAATTTGGTATCAAAAACTATATATTCCTTATAGAATTTATTTTCCCATAAAGTATAATGTGAAGCCATAGCTTTGGTTTTACCACATGGCTGTTTTCTTGTCTCATTACCATTTATTGAACAATCTTTTTGTTTCTGTGTGATTTAAAATGCCATATTAACATATGTTAAATATATTTACTCGGTTACTGTGTCTTTTCCACTAATATGTCTCTGTTCCTTTTTTATTTTAATTATCATAATGTATACAATGAGCGTTTTATTCATGCCTGAATCATAGCTTTCTCAATGGAAAAAATAAATATATATATACTACATTAGCTTTTCTTTGCCAGAATAGCTGTATATTCCTTTCTGATTTAAAAGAAATACAGGTTTATCTCACACACACACACACACACACACAAAATTCAGTGTAAAAAATTTACCTGTGGTAATCCTACTGACATGACACTCAACACAAGTGCATAGCCTTCCTGACATGTTTCTCTGCATATATACACCCATATGAATATACAGTTTTACTTAAATAATATTATATATGTACTCTCTCTCTCTTTTTTTTTTTTAAGTCAAATTGACTTCTGCAATCAGCCTAGAAGAGTTTTTGTCATGGCGAAAAGTCCATGATAGTTTGTATTGTTTATTGAGTTACTGGTATTTGTCTATAATTAGTGTTTTTTTAAGTTACTGTAAATCTTACTTTTTTCTTGTTTACATTTATTTTAAACTTAAAGAATTGTTGTGTTTCTATGAATTTAATTTAAATCTCAGTCAGATTGTTATACATGTCCTCTTTCTCATTCAGTCCTCTTCTTACACATATGCCATGATTTGTCACAGAATACTCATTGAAAATTATTTCTTTAAAAATTGGCCTTGTATTCTGCTATAGCCAGAAATGCTAATAGAACTATGGTCATCATCAGGTGAGTATTAAAACTGAAGCAGAAAATGTTACCCTGTCCTTCTACAGAACTATGATGCTCAGTCACCTGCCATATCTGAACAGCAGATCAGAACTGGAAGTGATCCACAGGGAGCAGTTCAAAAGATCAAAGAACTGGCCAGGCTTTTGTTCAAGTATTAATTTTTAAAGTAGCCTGGAATAACAGAGTCTAAGGGCGTATCATAAAAATCTGTGTAACCATTAAGGATTTGGATATGGTGAACCACCTGTAGTGAAGACAAGAAAGGTGACAATGTAGTTCACTTAAAACTCAATACAGAGACATGTAGAAATACATACTAGATAATAGAAGGATCCAAACAGTGAAGAAGCAGTCCCTTTATATTTTTAAATCTTTTTTTCAAGAGTAAAGTGTGTTGTGATAGTCATCTCGATTTGTTTGAAATGATGTTTACAAATGCTATTAAAGTAATAAATCCTACATTTTACTTGTATTGTGAATTTTTTGGTCTACCTCTCTAGTTGTAAAATACAAAAATTATCCTAAAAGATTGTATTTATTAACTTTTTGGTGGAATCACTTATCTTGTTTTGATGATAGGAGCAGTATAGCGTCAAGTTCTAGAGGAATTGGGAGCCATTGCAAATCTGAGGGTCAGGAGGAATCTTTGGTCCCACAGAGCTCAGTGCAACCCCCAGAAGGAGACAGTGAGACAAGTAAGATGTTATTTTGCTTTTGTTGTTATAAAACCCCAACATTGGATGTTTACCTACTTTTCTGTTCCCTTCGATGCTGTATTTTTGTTTCTTGTTTTTAATAAATTACTTTTGCTTCTGTAGTCCAGCTGTTAAAACTGATAGATAGCAGATCCAAAAGATGGGGACCTTAAGCAGTTAAAATGAGGAGATACAGTGAAGCACAGTCCTCTTTGTGGACACAGTGGCCAGGATAATTATTCATCATACTGTAAATGGATGAGATATAGATGTTAGTTTGAATTAATCTTTTTCATTTTTATACCTAGCAGTGAAATCTGCTGTATCTGTTTTGATTGTGTGTGTGGTTTATAGAGGGGGAAAAAGAAGTAGAATCTAAACAGGTTACGAGTGAATCTATTTAATACCTGAAGTGCCACTTAGGGGATTTTTCAGATCCCTTTTCTAGTAGAATATTTTTATAAGACAATGACATGAAATTTAATGTCTAGCACAGAGACTAGAACACAGTAAATGTTCAATAAATGCTTGATACATGAAGGAACAAATGGATTATATTTCTTATAAATGTTTAAGTACCTTAGTATAACAGAGTTTAAAATTAAATATGTGTAAGACAGCTATCTGGTAAGCAAATGTCCAATAAGGAATGTTAAAGACCGATCCTTCATGCATCTGACAGTTAAATTCCAGAATTAAGTATTTTCAATGGCCAAAACAGAATTTATAGTATGGTTAGCTTGACTACTTGTTCGTAATAGTTTAGATTTTACCAAGTACGTGATAGAGGGGCAGAAAAATGCTCAGTTTTAAGTTTAGATTTTGGGAAGCTTAGTAAAATGCAGGATCAAGTAATTTCAGCTGTAAGGGATAGTCTAAAGCAGAGATTCTGCACATAGAGTTAATGAAGCCCAATGCCTGGACATTAGGAAGAAGCAGTGGGCCCATCCATCCATGATAGTGTTTGTACAATTTTGTGTGCAAATACATATTTGCCTTGTACTGAGGGGAGGTTTTAGCTGAATGTTAAAGGTTCCTATGACTCAGAAAGGGTTAAGAACCGTTTATCCATAGGAAAGCTGGAGCATTAAGTTGATGTTTACTTTTCTAAAAGAATCTGGATTTAATGGTACATTTGGCCCCACATGCCCATAGATTCCATGGAAATACTCTCTCCCAAAATAACAATATGACAATAAAAAGGAACACAGATTTAAAAATAACAGTGTAGTAACCGTTTACATAGCATTTACGTTGTATTAAGTATTATAAGTAATATAGAAATGATTTACAGTATAAGGAAGGGTATGCATAGGTTATATACAAATATGCCATTATATATGAGGGACTTGAGGATCTACAGATTTTGGTATTTTCAGCGATTTTAGAACTAATACCTCATGGATACCAAGGGGTGACTGTAATTTGGTTTATTTACAGAAACTCCTGAAGAATCATCAGAGGATGTGACAAAATATCAGGAAGGAGTATCTGCAGAAAACCCAGTTCAGAACCATATCAATATAAGTGAGTTGCTCCCTTTAGATAATTGCTTTGTATGAGAAAATTAAAAGCCTTAATCTGTGTTAATCTCTCTAGAGTTAGAGACCATGTCCAAATGTGTTGTGGAATTTTCCTCCCCTTATAGAGGAATTAGATGTCATAGTAGAATGTGTTTGTCAGCTCTTAAGTTAGGTTAAATAATTAATATTGCCCACTTTACCACCTGTTACATACAACTTTATTTTCTGACAGCACAATCAGATAAGTTCACAGCCAAGCCATCGGATTCCAACTCAGGAGAAAGAAATGACCTCAATCTTGATAGCTCTTGTGGGGTTCCAGAAGAATCTACTTCATCTGAAAAAGCCAAGGAACCAGAAACTTCAGATCAGACTAGCACTGAGAGTGCTACCAATGAAAATAACACCAATCCTGAGCCTCAGTTCCAAACAGAAGCCGTCGGGCCTTCAGCTCATGAAGAAACATCCACCAGGGACTCTGCTCTTCAGGACACAGATGACAGTGATGATGACCCAGTCCTGATCCCAGGTGCAAGGTATCGAGCAGGACCTGGTGATAGGTTGGTAAATTTTTAATTAACATGAACTGTAAAAAATGTATTTCACGAGGATTTGTTTGAAGTCATGTAAGGGAATCTCTCCATTTTTGACAGTTGCTTCCTCTAAGAGTGTCTTTTTCGTATAAACCTAAAGAAACTTTACAGTTCACTGTAAATGATTTTAAGTATTATATTTTTTGAGCACTGTACATTAATAGGGAAATAAAAAGTCTTCATTCTCCTTATCTCTAGCACTGAGACCTGCTTCTGAATTTACACATCAAGAGAAAACAAGGTTAAGAATGACCCACAGGTTATTTATGAAGTCAAGGTTATACTTAGCTCTCAGATTATCTTGTAGATATCCAGGCCTCTATCAGTTTTGCTTTGGTTTTAATGTTAATTTTTTCCTGCTTTTCTATTGACCCTGGATTAAGGTAGTGTGTTAGTAGTTCTGTGTTTGGAAACACTGTTTTTCTTTGATTTCTACTAAACTTAGTGACTGAATTTAGAAAATGAAGAATTACACTAAATAAATACTGTAGCAGCAATAAAAAATTGAATTGCCAACATGTTTATATAGTTTTTCTATATTTTATGTGATCACAAGGATATATTTTCTTTTGTGGGAGATAAAATAAATTTTTAAAGTATACTGCATTTCATACTTATGGAAAACTATTTCTGTTATTAGTGCTATGATATCTCATTGTAAGTTCTGTCTTCTTTCAGAGAACCTAGTTTTAATCTTAAAATCCTAGTTTACAAAGGAGTGAGATTCTATTTGAAATCACGTTTTATATGCTCAATATATTGCTGTTTATAAGATACGCTAAAGTATCTGTCAACTGAAAAATATAATGAAAGATTAATTTACCACTTATAGTCAAGAACATAATGACGGGTTTGAGTACTGGTTTCACCACCTACCAGCAATGTTTTTTCATTCAAATTACTTAATGACTCTTAAAGATTCAGTTTCCTTATCTATAAAATAGGGTTATGATTATCTAAAATTATTGCAAGAATTTAAAAACATATCTATCAGTCAATCATGATGTGACGTGGCTCATATTAATAGCACTAATTAAATGATAGCTGTATTAAACAATCAAGATAGTCTATGAGGCCCCTTTAATTTTTAAAAGAATTATAGTAAAAATGACTCTAGGGGTACAGACTGACAGAAAACAGGCAAAAATCCTGAAGAGGATAGCTTGCAGTTCAAGGGAACTGCCTTTTCTTAACTATGAAAGGGTATGTTTCTTCCTTTAGTCATATTTGGGAAATGTTTACTTTGCCATGGTACTTTTTTTGTAGATACGAACCAAGAATTTCCTCCCATATTTATACTTAGAGATTAATCAGACATCTTCTCTTTACCTGTACACATTAATCTTGAACATTCTTAATATATATTTTAGGCAAGTAAGCCTTGGTTCTATTTCTTTCCATACCCAGAGGGAGTTCCTTAGAATGTTATTACCACTTTATATATGCAGATGAGATTAGCAAGCTTAGCACAATTTGAAAATCAAACTGATAATTTCCAAAACCCAGGGTTGAGAGCTAGATTCTATAATTTAAGCTTGTACCTTTATGGCCTTCCATTTATATAAATGAGCTAATGTCTTATTTTTCTATATTTAAGTAGTAGAACATGATACTGAGGTCATAATTGAAAATAAAATTTAAGTGCCCAGTTTCTAGTAATGTTTTTTATGGATATTAGACACTTTGAGAAAATCATAACTATTTAGCAGCTTCTGTGCAGGCTACTTATAACACTAATACCAAGCCTGCTTTATAGCTGAGGAAACTTAGGTGCTAAGCAAAGGGTTTTTGTATTCTAGACCTAAGGAGTTTTGTTTTTTGAAACACAGTACTGTAACATTAATGAGAAAGAAGGATTTGAGGGAGGGTGGGTCCTGGAGAATACAGAAACTGTAATCTTTCTATAGAGCTTTATCATCTTCGTAATCCTTAGATGATTTATATGTTTTAGGGATTCTTTTAGTGTTTAGATCTGTCACAAAGTTGGTTCCCAGTAACCTCATTGACCCAAGGAAACTCAGGTGCTGAACTGGACCAGCAGAATCTTTTAGAAGAGAGATAATCAGTGACAACAAACAGCCTGGAATTGATCCCACTTCATGCATATACTCTTGAATTCATACTCTCAGGATTAGATCCGGATTTGAAACCACTCTGGGATCATATTTAGTTCCCTGCTTTTTAAAAATTAAAGATTATTTAATATTCTGTACACTCATTTGAGTATTTAGCCTATGTTGGTCCTACATGGTATTTTGTTTTGTGAGATACAGTAGTAAACTTCCTGAAGAGTAACAGAAGAATGATAAAATTCTTATCCTTCAAGAAACTTAATTATTTATGAAGAAGAGAATACCCAAGCCACTTATAGGAACATAGAACACATTTAATATATGAAAGTAAATACAATTATGTGTGTGTGTGTGTGTGTGTGTATGTGTATGTATAAAGATGTGTATACTGAGGTAACTAGAAAGTGATTAGAGTAACAATTACATTAATTTTCCTTTGAGATTTGTATTATTTTCTAGCTCTTTACCAAAAAATTTGTAAATGGTGTAAATATTTCCTCTGACTTTTATCTCATTTTTTATAATTGTTAACTTTATTGGTACCATCCTGATTTATCTTGAACAACTGTAAAAAAGTGTACTTTTAATATTTCTGCACCTTTCTAAGGGCTCTTCATCATTGACACTCCTGCCAGTTTATCTTACTTCTCAATTTATTTGACTTTTATTCTAAAAAGAGAAAGTTTAAGAGATTTTGCTTCTTAAGAACATGAAAAGAATCACTTACCAGCTTGTAATTAGGCATATGATTTTGGAGAATTTCTGTTTCCTAAGAGACTAAGGGTTGTGAAGCTCTGTTGTAAAAATCATATTTGGTTCCTAGACTCCAAGGATACATTGCACACATGGATGAAAGGCCCACCTAAAAGGATGTATGTCTTAAAGTTCCCTCCATGCTGCCATTTGCAAAGCCCAGTCAATATTAGTTTAGTTGGAGTGGAGAAATGGTCCTAAAATTAAATATTATAAAAGTGTATACTTATTCTGTACTTTATATAAAGAACTATATAGTTTTTGTCCCAAATTTAATTTTTAAAATGAAACTTTAAAAAGCTTTATAGTAAGTCATTTCTGACACACATTTACTAAAAATATCAGAACAGTTCCTTGCAATACAGAGTAATGATTTTTAAAAAAAATTTGCTTTCTTATAATTTGGTTAAATAAATGACCCAGGTTTTCATTTTTGGGCTGAGATCAAGCATGAGAAGGAAATGTCTTAGAAAATGAAGACCTTAACAACTAACATAGATATTTTTAAATGGAATGCTCTTCTCATTAACTACAGCAAGTCTATATAAATGTAACTGGGAGTCTATAGCAGAGCAGCAGACTTACTCCTAAAGAGCCATAAGTATGTTAGACTTTGTTGGCCAGGAGACAAAATGGAGACCATTACGGTAGGTACCTATATGACCATTTAAAATATTACATTTAAAAATGTAAAAACTTTTCTTAGCCTAAGGTTCATTTCAAAAATTGGCATTTGGCAGAGATCTAGCCCAAGAGTCATAGCTTGCAAATACCTGCTCTGTAGTAATCAGTATTATAGAGAGAAGTCAAACTATAGTCTGTGGTAAAATACCTCTGCTGGCAGAAATCCAGAGTTTAAAACAATGAAATATATGAATCTCCACATATTTGGGTTCCCTGTAACTTTGTGTAAGGCAAGAACATAGAACAGTAAATGGGAAATAAATTGAAAAAAGACATAAAGAAATGTATGTTCTCTAGTCATGGTGTTTAAAAAAATAAAATTAGTCCTAATGTCAAAAATAAGTCTGACTTAGGAAAAAAGCAAAACAAAACAAAAAAATAGTGTGTGTATCTCTTAGTGATTTTATATACTGTATTTATTTATTTCATTTTGTTTTATTTTTTGAGACAGGGTTTTGCCCTGTTGCCCAGGCTGGAGTGCAGTGGTACAGTCATAGCTCACTGCAGCCTCATACTCCTGGGCTCAAGCGATCCTGCTCCCTCAGTCTCCCAAGTAGCTGGGATTACAGATGCATGTTGCTGCACTCTTTATTTATTTATTTTTTTTAGTTTTAGAAGAGGCAGTCTCACTATGTTGACCAGGCTGGTCTTGAACTCCTGGCCTCAAGCCTCAGCCACCCAAAGTGCTGGGGGACTGCAGGCATGAGCCACCGTGCCTGGCCATATACTGGGTTAAGAAACATATATATATGCCCTTGGAATGAAAAGAGTGTAGTTGAGTTCTCTGTTTAGATAATCTTCATGTAAGTTTTTCTTTTTTTTCTTTTTTTGAGATGGAGTCTTCCTCTGTCACCCAGGCTGGAGTGCAGTGGCGCAATCTTGGCTCACTGCAAGCTCCACCTCCCAGGTTCATGCCATTCTCCTGCCTCAGCCTCCCAATTAGCTGGGACTACAGGCACCCACCACCACGCCCAGCTAATTTTTTGTATTTTTAGTAGAGACAGGTTTTCACTGTGTTAGCCAGGATGGTCTCGATCTTCTGACCTCGTGATCTGCCTGCCTCGGCCTCCCAAAGTGCTGGGATTACAGGTGTGAGCCACTGTGCCTGGCCCATATAATTTTTTTTTTTTTCTTTTACAATGCCAAATCTGTTGTAAATTATTTGATGGCCTGGTTGGTAGCTCTTACTGTTTCTAAACTCAAGAGAAAACCTAAATTACTCTCTGAAGAAGACAAGCATCTAAGAAAGCTTCCTGAATAAGTCCTCACATAGTCTCTTGAATAGTTTTTAATTATATCCTCAGTTAGGATGATCTAATAATTTTTTCCCTAAAGAGTGATAATATTAACCCTGTATTGCCCTGTAATAAGTTTTAGAAGTATTATTTTCATAGAAATTTGGTTCCATATACCTACTCTGGACCATGGAGCATAGCCCTCACTTTTAAAGCCAAAATT